TAGGCTAAGTGACTTGCTAGAGAATTTATGGCAGCCTCTTTCTCTGCAGGGGCATGCAAATTACTTAAAAAGGAATGCGTAAATTTTCATGTTGTGCATGAGAATGTTTGATTCGTGCGTATCCCTGTATGTCAGCGTGTTGCGCGCATGCGTTTAACCATGAAGCGAAGTTTAGGTTACTGCATGTGAGAAATCCGTAAATTCCAATTGTAAGACAAACTAACAGTGCGCAGGGGAAGTAAAAAGTATAAAGAAAAATGCGTTGAGCAGTCTCAATACTTACACGAAGAAGTGCGTATTCATTTGAACAGTGAATCGAACACGGCCAAGTACTCAGGCATTAGGGCTATTTATATATTCAATGAGTATTTACACGTAGAATCATCGTTTTATATGACATACTGGGTAGAATTATTATTTAAAATAAATCTTGAGTTGATAACAAATATTTCATTTATTTACACTTTTATACCTATGACAGAGTTAGGTTTTAATGAGTGATTTTTAAATACAATTTAAAAAAAAAAAAAAAAAAAAGCACGAGTGAAAAAACTGAAATGGAATTAAAATCTACCTCTGAGTAGGTAGAAAATGTTATCCTGTGTGGTTTTAATATGCTTTCAACGCATGCGCCAAAATTTGCACATGACGTCTTTTTTTTTTATAACAGCTACGGATTTTTGAGGAAAATAAAAAGGAGAGGATTTTTTGCTCTGTTTTATGGTTATATTTCAACTTTTGGGTCTTTGGAGTCACTTCCTATTCTGTGTTAATACAATGGGCGTTAACCCATTGTTCTAATTCACAACCTTGTTTGGGTAAACACATTTTACCAGGGATGAATAACTCCTTCATATTTTTCAACCTAATAGGTAAAATAATTGATTCCTATTGCGTAATATGGTGTCATTTCCTTTAACCATAAAAGGTGGGGAGAAAAAGCGATAGACCTTAGACGGGCCCAAGGAAAGTTCTCTAAATTATTGTACGGTACCGTACATGTTGTACTTTCGAGAAAGGTAAAGATACCATTCTATCAGTCTTGATAATCATCGATTTTTTAATATCTAAATTATAAAGTAATATATTTTAACTATAATCTGCATTTGTTAAGCCTTTAATTACATACAAAAATTTTTAAAGCTTTGCAAATGCAAATCTATTCATTACATGAACGGCCCTTCATAAAATGGTGCGAGTGCTAAAATATACACCATGTTTCCGGGGGTTGAACGGTTTTCTAATTTGAGCTGGCAAGCGTAAAACTTGGCTTAGACCAAGTGGTTTGCTAGTGAATTTATGGGAGTCCCATGCTCAACTGGGACAAAATAATAATAAATGAATTAGTTCTAACCTGTAACAGAGTTAGTTTTATGTATGCAGTATGGTATAATACTAAAACACGAGTTAAAAACTATAAAACATATTGATTTTGAAATTAATTATATTGAAACGTCTACTTGTGTGATTGCAGAAGATGTCACCCCGTGTGCTCTACCTATAGTTTCAACGCAAGCGCCTAAATTTAAACATGATATTTTTTATTTATAATATAAAACCCTGTGGCTACTGTGCAAGGTAGCGGAAACGTTCAAATTAGCTCACGAGGTAAGGAGCTCGGGTATCTTGCTCCATTTTTCTTTTAATGTATCGACTTTAAAAAATGTCCGGGAATTATGCCTGATCATGATGTCCTGGCTACGATAATAGCATTGGTTGGCTTTTCCCCAACGTTTTGTACATATTCCTATCAATATAAACAAGCGCTAAGAGGACAATGAAGCAGCACTGTTATATTGCTCAATGCCACACATTCTGCATTAAGCCACGGCTTATTTACCCTGTCGACATAGTGCCTTGTTTGCATGACCTCCGTAATTGTAATGGCGAGAAAGGTAGAAATATCATTTCGCTATAGTATTGATAGGCACTGTGCGCATGCGCCACGATGAAAGAAACTTTTTTATCTTTTATCAAATAAAGATAAACATATTTTTAATATCCGAATTATAAAATAATACATTTCAACCAAGAGCTGCGTTTGTAAAGCATACAGTTATTTGCGTGAATTTGTAAACCTTCGCAAATGCATATCTATTCATAGAATGACCACACTATATAACATAGCGCGATATCTAATATATGAACCATTTTTCAAACACTTCGGCGGTTTTCCAATTTAAGCTGGCAAGCGTAAAACTTGGCCATGGCTAAGTGGTTTGCTAGTGAATTTATGGGAGCCCCATGCACAACTGGGGCGGAAGATATGAATGTTAAAACAGAAATCCTGACAACAAAAGCAGTCTATTTCTCAATTATGTTATGGACCATTATGAAATTCATGTTCTTATATTAAGGAGGTGTAAACCCATGTTATTGTTTGCGATGTACTAGATTGTTTTTTCTCCAAACCCAAAGCTTGACTGCTAAAGTATAACTATTGAAATAAGTCTTAAGGTGTAAGTATATACACGCACCCTGTACTCATTCAGTGAACCGAACTCAGCTATCATTAGTGCTTCTGCACTCAGGCTATTTATAGAGTCATTCAGCTGGTATAATACGTAATAAAATAAAGCTTTAAGATACGTCTTGCGTTTTCAGTAAACATTATAATTCATTCATTTACTTTAAGGGGATAATTG